GGGATTTGAATGAAAGATCATTGTAGATTAATAATTGTTATAAAAAAAAATGTTAAGTTCTTGTCATCAAGAAAAATGTGACATATTCAGTCATGTAGTCACCTTAGAATGCATCAACTATAAACAGTTCATTTCTCAGGCTGTGGCTCATCAATAAATGAGGATCTTTCATTAGCTAGCAGTTCCTCATTTTTGGCCTCATCACCTCGTCCAAGCCTTTCCAGGACATGCGCAATCGCTCGGTGGGTACGTACGGTCTCCTGATGATTTCCTAAAACCTTGTCTTGTATGGTTAATGCACTCTTCAGGGCCTCCAGGGCATCATTCAATTGTCCTTGGATGGCTAAAGCCTGTTAATTAAAATTAAATGCAAAATGGTTATCTATTCCCATCAGTTTCCCTCACACCTTTTGTTGAGAGTGGGCACCAACAGTCTCTTGTTGAAGATAACCCTAAAACACTATGGAAGATACCCAAAAGTACTGTACGAAACATGCCCAACCTCAAAAAGAGACCAACCCCATACTAAAAAACCATCACTACAGAAATTAAGACTTGGAGAACACAGAGACAAAAGTTTTTAAACGGTTAAGATCCTCAGTTATAGACTGGTGGAAATGGAAGTGGCTGATTCCGTCGAAGATAATAAATCTGAAGGAGAGCCTCCACAGAGGCACAATCGCATCAGCTGTTTTGATCAGGATATAGCATTTAGCATTTTTAACAATTCTGAAAAGCAAGCCAAATAGGAGTAGGAAGAGTAAAAGCATTCCTTTCAGCCTTCATGGCTATGGGAGTGGCCTTGGTTTTCATTTGTACCTGGATTTTCTGTGTCTGCCGCCTGCCGCAACTATGGGCATGATGTTCTGGGAGACTGGTCACAGGAAAACAATAAAAAAGTAAACTTTCCATATACATTATAGAATGGACAAGTACAATTTTGCCAGGGCAAGTATATCATCTGGCATGCTTGCCCAGCTGACAACTTGGAGAAAAAACCAATATGGATCCCTGCATCTTGCCTGTTTCAACATTTCTCAAGAGTTACATGTACAGTAACACTCTAGCTAGACACTAGTACATGTAGGCCATATTCATATTTTTGGTATTGGACTGGATATAGCTTGCAATCAGATAAATGTCATTTGCATTGCAACAAACTCCCCACATTAGCCTCAATTGCAAGCTACATGTACGTGTAGTTCCAGTCAAATAATGAGAATACGCAAATGGTCTATTGGGGGATGAAAACAAAATTCATCGATATCACTACTGTCTTGTAAATTTACCTTGCCAAGGCCATGGAAAGAACGTGCTGTTTCTTGGTGATCACCCAGAGAATTCTTGCGCATGCGTAATGCATCACGTAGGAATTTTATTGCACTCTCATAGTCTCCAAGAGCCTGATAAGACATGCCCATATCATCCATCAGAGTGGCTGTAAAAGGATGGTCTCCTAGCAACTCTAGATACACAGGAAGTGAGTACTCTGCCCTGTACTTATTGGCCTCTTGGTGGGCTTCATTGAAAGCATAGGCAGCTGTATAATGAAGCAAAAGAACACAACATGTAACAACGTAGCTGCTTAAGGCAGACCACAGTTTACTTTCTCTGAAGTATTCCTCTCAAACTTACTAATAATTCATCACATTTGAAGAAAGGAAACCATGACTGTCATGGTGTTTGGATAGCATGTAGTTTTATGCTTTTATTTTTCCAGTGTTTGGCCATACTTCCAAACACCTCAAAGTTCATCAAATATATTAACTCCACTATATGTCATATTTTCTTGGTGTTTGGAAATGTGGTTAAACATGGTCTTTCATGTTTAATATATCACTTCTAATCAGCAACTGGTTTAGCCTCCCCAGGCGAGAGGAGTTAATGACCAACAGTACCATTGAATAAAGATTTTGTTTTTTCACAAAAGCAACATTACAATGTACTTTAAGTTTTAACCATACGGTGACTAATATTTCACAAATTATACATGTTTTTTTAGGACGCTCAGAGATGGGATCTCTTGTACGTCTAGTGCACCTCGGCGATGCGCCTATAATAATAACAATAATATATTTATTTGTTTATTTATTTTTAACATCACCGTGTTTATTTTGCTTTTGCTTTGTTACAGAATGTAACGGGATTAGATAGGGGAAGAGAAACGACAAATGAAATGGCCTGCGATCAGGCGTTTTTNCAACATTACAATGTACTTTAAGTTTTAACCATACGTGACTAATATTTCACAAATTATACATGTTAGTTGTATGATAGATTTACAGGTACATGCCACATACTTGTATATTTTACTGTTAGTATCATGCAATCAAGAATTCCTTTCCAAGACCTTCTCCAGAATTAATGGTACATGTATATACAGTGTATGCTTTTAAACTCTATTTTTTGGGGGGGATTGATGGTTTTTGAGCATTGACTAAAGTCACTCACTAAAGGGACCGTGGGGGGAAGGGGCTGGTAGGGCTGTAGCCCTATCACTTTTTTGCTTGGAGTGATTTTTTTAGGCTGCAGATGTCATGGATAATTTATGAATTTTACCACTTGAATAGTGGAACAGTGACTCTTAAAGCTTGGTTGTCTTGGCCATATTTGTCAGCCCTACCAATTTAAAATGGTCTCTGCGATCCCTGCACTAGACATTTTGCTCAAGCACCACATTTGCCTTCCTCCAGTGCCCAACAACACAGGTTTGCTACTTACCTCCAAGATCTTTATAAGCAACTGCAGTGAAAATCCTATCCTTGTGTACTTTCTCTCGGATGTCAATGGCTTTTCTAATGAGTGGGATTGCTTTTTCCAAATCTTTGGACTGTCCGAAACAACGGCCAAGTTTACTCAAACAAAATGCACGTACGACAGATGAGTCATCACCAAGCTCTCTTTGTATGGCGTCAGCCTCTTTGAACCTGGCAACTGCGGGTGGACATGGAAGATGACATGCACAGTGTGAAAGGATACAGTATGCCTCTGAGGTCAAGCAGTCACTGTAACGCTTCTTGTTCCCTGCTCTTTTGCAGGCATCAGTGAACTGGCCATACACTGAGAGAAACTTCTCTTTTCTGAACACCTTAGCTAAGAAAGGAGCAACTTCAACTGCTGTGTCGATGCACAGTTCATCTAAGTCAGGGTCAGCCAACGAGTCTTGCAAGGCCTGCCTTATGTTGCGCCGATTGATCAGGAACTTCTGGACTGCTTGACAACAATTCTTAGAAAGAAAGAGTGCATACAGCTCCTTTAACATGCCCAAATAGTGAATGTTGAACAATTTTTGGGCTGATTGGTAGGGTGAATACAAATCTGATTCCTGGTGTGCACGATCAATACAAAAAGACTGGATAATATTATGGACATAATACTGTTTTAACAAATAATCAAACTGAAGCATGGAGTTGTCCACAAGGTTTTGAAGCAACATTCCCAGTTTATATGCAGATAAGTCTCTCAGTAGAAACTGGGCGTCAGACACAGTGAATGACATAGGGAACAATGCTAAGGATATCAGAGCAACTTGCTGGTCAGGTTCAAGGCGGCTGAAGCAGATTCCAAGACAGTTAAAGAGCTGATGATTGTGGGACAATGAATTAAGACTGAAAGATTTAAGGGTTGATACTGGGCTCATTTGAAACTCATTTATAAGAGCACCAGCATCAACTCCTTTTGCCAGGAGAGCTGCAGTTGTGCGAAGAACCAATGGCACCCCACCGCAGTGAGACGCCAACTGTTCTGCATGTTCCTCGGACACTCTGGACTCCAGTTTCAGCAGTAATTCCTTTGCATGGTCGGGACAAAGAGAATCTAACCGAAGCTCAAACATTTCCACAGTAAAAAATGTGATGGATTGGCGTGATGTGATCAGGACTTTCACATGAGGGGCAGTTTCTGCGACAGTTTCAATGAAGTGGCAAAATTCCTCTTTTACCTGGGGGAGCAACATGTCCTCTGCATTGTCCAGAATAATGACAGAGTGTTTGGTCAATGTGCGTAGGCAGTGTTTAGCTTGCTGGATCAACCGTCCTCCGCCTGCCACTATCTGAAGTGCGCCAAGAAGGGAGTTCATCATGCCATTCATAGACGTCAAATTCCTGAGCGAGATGTAGTATACATTTGTTTTTCCTTGGGCTATCAGTTCATGTCCCACTTGGATGGCCACAGCAGATTTGCCGAAACCTGGTGGTCCAGTGATGGAAACTATTCGACAGGAATCACTTGCATTGAGTTTCTCCATTACAGTAGCACATTGTCCTTTGCGTCCCACAAAATTTGGAACTTTGCAAGGAATTCCACCCAAGTACTTAAAAGCTTCTGTAACAGCAGCCCCTAGTAAACGAGAGACAAAATATTATAAACATAAGTATTTATCACCAGCAGAGTTTCAATCTACATTCAGACAACTCAGTGTGCACATAATTTACACATTGCTATAACAATATTCCAGGGGGAAAATAGTTCTAGTGTTTCTTTTAAAATAAATTACACTATTTAGGGGGGAAGCCACATCAGCCCTAGCTGGTTTTCATGCGGGTTCTCTATCCTGGTCGAATTGGAATTTGGAGATGTTGGTTTTTGTGGAGGAAGGAAAACTGACCCACATTTGGCACTGGGCCAGAATCGAGCCCAGGCCAGAGGCGGGAGGCAAGTACTCTCACCACTGCACTGTCCCACACTTTTGAATTATGAAAGCACAAGGGAAAGATTGGGTGAAAGAGAAATACTATGGGAAAATGATGTTCTAAGGCATCTGTTTGCACAATGTTTTCTAGTTCCCCTAAACTTTCATGAGTGTTAAGAATTACACATGAGAATTATTAAACATGCAGTCACAGGCCAAGCGTGGTTCTGGCTCTGCACAGGTTTATTTTTTTAGTTTTGTCAGTGACCAGACCCAATCTTCCACTCGGTCGATTTGCAAGCGGAACTAAGTTTGAATCAAGCAACTTATGATGTTTACTCGCCAAAAGCTGTTAAAACATAAAATTTAAATGTACTGAAAATTTTATGAATATTCTACTGTTTATTTAGTACAAAATATATAGTCTTTTTGTGTTATTCAAGTGCTTGATTCGAAGCGAGTATTGAATACATAAAAAGCAATTACGTCATTCATGGAATGTGTCGACATTGCAACATTGCAACTTTCTCTTGGGCAGTGTGTTGAGTAAGATGGTGCTTGTTTTGAACTTTTATTTCGCCAGGAGCTACAGTCATTGATCTAATTTTCCGAGTATATTTTTGTATGTTTAGACAAGAAAAGTGAATTGTCGTGCTGTTTTATTGAAGTGAGTTCAGAGATCGGAATGTAAAATTAAGTATTTGCAAGCCAAGCAAAGAACATGTCAGAAGATGCAAGGATTACGTCATTGGTAGGGAAATAACCACCGTACTAAAGATAACCATGGATGAAGTAATTCTTGAATTCATGCAACTCGTGTGACTTCTTTGCTAGCCCTTTACTCATGGATGGATAACACAATTAACTCATGGATGGATAACACAATTAAATTTAATCCTGACTTTTAAGAAAGAAAGCTGTTGTTAATGGTGTTACATGTACTACCGTATCATTCACGCCCATACATATCCCAAAGAAAGTTCCAGACTAAGACCATTACATCATCATAGATTTCACAAAGGCTAAGAGCAATGGTGCAATAATACAGTTTGTGTTGATCAAGTGATGTGGTGTCTACAGTAATCCATGAATCATCAAGGACTGCTTTGGAACATGCACTGTGTTACGACTGTAGTGCTAAGAAAACAGTTAAATTTTAAAAGCTCGGTTATAAGATCTTCTTGTTAAGCATTGACAAAGCTTGCATATCACTGGATTCAAAGAAAGTAAAATTTGTGACAAGACAAGCTAGTAGGGATTCACCATCACAGAACAGGCACTTTCACTTGCATGAAAATAACTCCTGAAAATAACATTGGTTGCAGAAAAATCACAGCCTCCACCAGCGACTTGCAAATGAATGAGACAAGTGAAAGTACTGTAAATCAGAATTTTTCTTTGATTTACATGAGCAGTAGATGTTTTAACTTCTTAAGTTACCAACAAAGAGATTATTTTTTCACAACATTATATGATGATAGTTATAGAGAAAGAAACATGTCTGTTTACACAGGTTTTCAGTTTCTTTTCTATTTTTGATTTTAAGGTTCTGTAGTGAACAGACATATTGAAAAATATTGTTTTCACTGCAGCAGTAATACCACCAAAAATTAAAAACTGAATAAAAAGTTATACAAATTTTTAATAAAATTAAAACCACCTTAATTTCAATTGGCACATACTGTACATGTAAATTGTTTCTAACACCTATAACCTTCTACCAAGGTAATAAAACTGTGATCAGGACAATAATTTTGCAAAAGGAACTGTTATCAGAATGACATTTGAATGCAATCAAAGGCTGCAGGTGCATTTCATCAACAACATTTTTACACCTTCATCATAGAATACAACTCGCATACATGTTGCAATTGCAAACCAGTCTGCAAAATAAGTATGTCGTGCTAAAAGAAGTACATACTGGTGATTGTTATTTTTTTGTGTGCACAACAAAAATATCTCCAGCAGCATCCCATGTAAAAAAATAGTCGGGATATTGCAGAATCTACTTCAGCTATCAAGGAAAATGCCTGAGGAAATCATGCAGGTACAGGTTGGCAGATTTGAAACCCCTATGCATTCTCTAACTGCCTTACAGGTTGAATAAAACACACATAAGCATACCGGATGACTGGGTGATACCATCGGTATCAATAAATATCATACATGGCGAGACAATCGATTAATGTGCTCCGGTTACGTCATTTTTTGGAGTACATTTAATTTACATGTACATGTATTTAGCAGATAACAATAATTTGAAAACGATTTAAGGAAAAGTTCAGCGATCATAATGATATCGAAGAGCTTAGGACCAGCGCGTCAGAAACTCTCTTTCTGTGAAGAGTGGAAGAAGTGAAAAACAAAAATAAGTTTTAACACTCTCTATATTTCTCTAATTTTCCACCCAGCTGTATTCCTCCACTCCCACCAGGAAAGTCACGTATATCACGTACTTAAATTCTTAGCACGAAAACTGTAAAAAACACTATTATCAAAACTATCAGTAAATATTACTTTTGTAAATGACGGTGCAACTAATTTTCATCAGGCGGGGGAGTGATCATAAAGCCGCCCGCTAATTGTTTGTCGTAATCAAAATATATGCTTATTTTGGGTTAGCTTCATCCAATTTTCGTGCACGAACCGCTTATTTACACAGTGCTGCATGGTGACTTACTTTCTACTCCAAGAAGACGATTTCTGAGATCGTGCCGTCCAATGTGGAACAGTAAAGAAGAGAGTGGATCCTTGTTCTCATCGCTCAGGTCGCAGCAATGAATCAGCTCAAGGAAAAGTTCTCGCGGACGTGTGACTGTCTCGAGATGGCTTGCTGGAACCGTCCCCTCGCACAAAAACTTCAGGTTCTCGAAATCTTCATCTGTAAGTTCCCGGCCAATTGACAGCAGCAAAGAGAGGAAAGCTGGGTCTCCTGAATTCATGAGGGATTAAAATGGTGAAAATTAGAATCAAATGAAAACCACCTTGTCACATATTGAGTTTATCGAGAAATGGCGGAATATATTTTCATACTGGAACTAGTTACCAGACTCTTCGAGCTTATGATTGACATTTGATGCAAAATCCTGCAAAATGGCGGACGGGTTGAATGGAAAGTTGCCATAAACGGAAAGTTAGCGAAATGCTTGGCTTAAGTGTCTTTATTTGTCACAGTCTTGGTTAATATTCGTTCCCTTGTTCATCAGTCAGTGATTGAGAAAGAATCGGCGCCATTCGACCTCAAACCACAACGCAAAATGCTGACAGTTGCCGGGAGCTAGTGGCAACAACGTTATGGCATCTTGCTGTTCTGCTCCGATGCTCGAACTACTGTGTCAAAGATTAACGCAACTGGCATTAAAAGGAAAGAATTGATATGGAACAGACTTCTAGTCTTCGAGAGGATGGAACTTTTGATTCACAGAAGGCCGTGTTCAATTATTTTACAGCCAATGTTCTAAATGGATTTCTGGACGCGCTTAATTAAATTAATCGTAATTAAGCTTAAGTTTGTTTATGTTTTTCTTGATAAGTAAGCTTACATTGTAACCTTTTACTACAAAAAGGCCATTGTTAAGGAGAAAAATGCTTCAAAATAATTCAATTCTGGAGAATGAAACCCAGCCTCAAGAAGAAACACAGACTGATGATTTGATTTTTAGTGACAGCGAGGAACCTCCTATAGAACAAGAACCTTTAATACAACCACTACCGCCCAAGGACACTTTTGATGGAGGGCTCCTTATAGTTTGGGGTTGTGGAGAATTTGGTCAGCATGGTCATGGACATTCTGAAGATGTACCCTGTTGTGATGCTATAGGAAGTCCTGTTTGGCTCGGTCAAGAAAGGATGGTGGTTGAAGTAGCTTGTGGTTCAAGCCATACCCTGATCCTTACAGGTTAGTAACTCAAGTCAATCAAATGTTTGGAAATCGAACTTGATCAAAGTCAATCCATGGATAGAGTTCAATTTAGTTAGGCAATCAAACATAATCAAACACTGAACTTTGTGTGAGATCGATTTCCAAACCAATCAAACTCAATCAAACAAATCGAGCTCAATCAAACTTAATCCATCAGATTGTGTTTGATTAAATTCGAGAGCTGAACTCAACGGAACACATTCCAATAGTCATAGATTGCATTTGATCATGTTCGATGAATAAATTGGCTTGAACAAGGATCATGTTATGTGGTCTCAAAAACATGAAAAAAGTGTTCTACCAAAGTGACTCAAACCTCAAAAAACCCATTATTGATTTTCAATGGTATTTTTACCAAAATCACGAGTTCAGAAATCAAACATTTGAGTGAGTTCTATTGTTCAATTATTTTTGTGTGAGTTCAATTTCCTTCAATTGCCAAAGTCAGTCAAACTCAATCCACAATTAATTGAGTTCGATTGAGTTCGATTGAAACTCAGTTCAACTGGATTGGACTGATTACGCTGGGGTAACTTAACAGGTAGAACAGTTAAGTACCAGTGTAAACTGCTGCTTATAAGCCCAACTAAAAACCCTTACAAAGTTGTATAAGCCTAAGGCTTATAAGAACACTTAACAGTATTTAAATGGTGATTGGGCCAAGTAGAGTGCAATATTGAGGGACTATTTTTGCAAATGAATTCAAAAATCAAATGTCAACAGCACAATGCTAATTAGAAATTACAAAGTTAACATGATTACTCTTAGTTTGAATTGTATGACACAAGGTCCAGTAACCACATCGTACCGTTAAATGCCATTAATTTCGATACTCAGAAGTCTTTATTTAGGTGGCTCCATCAAAAAAAGAATTATTATTTAAAAAGTTCTAAAACTTTGCCCATGGTGATTATGTTTTGAATATTGCAACTAGAAGCAAATCTTGTGTAGTGTACCCTACCCTACCCTAATGTACCCTACTCACACGTATAAAGAATTGGGTATTTAAATTGTCAAATGAAAACTAAAATTTCAATTACAGTGTAGATCAATAATGCAGTCTAATTTGGCCCATGCCTATAAGATAATTATGTTAGAATTTGAAACTTCTTATGATCATTAAATTTGTGCAAGAAGTCACCTGGATCAATGAGATGTCTTCATGTTCTTCGCCATGAGCTCAATTTTCAGCTGCTGTAAGGAAATAAAAGCTTTTTCCCCTTCTTTAATTCTGCTACAGTAGCTCAGAGTGACGGTGGGATCAGAGAAGTGAGAGGCAAAATGATCACAGAGAAAATGCTGTACAAGTTATGTGATCATTGTTATTCTCAGCAAAAGCTGTGCAATTTCACCCTTGCAATTTGTTAAGTTCTCAGCAAAAATTCCATGTTATCTCATGGTATTACCCTTATTACATGTCATTAATCCAGTCAACTTTTGGACAGAGAATCAGTTGAATGAGAACACTATTACACAAGACAACTCAATGGCCATTTCTCTGTTTAGATGATAATAAGGTGTACAGCTGGGGAAACAGTAACAGTGGCCAGTTAGGTGTGGGTACCACAGAGACCAGCCCTCATCCCCGCCCACTGCACATCGGTGTGTCATCAGGTACCAAACTAAGAGGAATCACCTGTGGAACAAGACACAGCTTTGTGTGGACACAAGATGGAGACTGCTTCAGTTTTGGAAATAACTACAGTGCTCAGTTAGGTTATGATTTCAGAAAGCCTGATTTCAAGGAAAACCAGGTGTGAATTTCATAGTTTTTGCCAACATATACTCTATATTAGTAATTATTTGATATAGCAATAAATAGAGGATAATTCTTGGACACACGTACATGTAGATATGGAATATCTCTTCAAGTGTTCAACTCAATATCCCACGAATGAGTGCAGCGAACAAGTGCAAAAGAAAGTTGAACAACCAGAGAGATATTCCATATCTACAAACAACCATGTACATGTATCATTTTGTTTATTATAATTATAAACATACTGATAACAATGTTTTCAACAATTTTTTGAAGAGATTATACCACTTTTGGAAGATTTCCAAAGATTCTCCAAAAATTGTCCAAAGGCCACACAAACATTTTTAGACATTTTTCCAAAAATTTCCAAAGATTATTGAAGATTTCGGAAGGTAACCAAAAATTGCCGAAGACTTTCAGGGAAGATCCAAAGATGCTTCATACACCAACAAATTTAAGTACAGTTTAAGGGTCAAACATGATATCAGTGAAGTCAGTGATATCTTCATTAGTGAGGATATGGAAAATACGCCACCAAAGTCCTGGATGTGGTTTTGTATGAATTTTATTAGTGGTGTATTTTTCAGTAAAACACTCTTGTTTATATAATAAAAAGATAAATGTATGGCAAGTACAACGTAATACAGACTGTGAATTTCACATGGAGTACGTGTAAATCTTGGAAATTTGTTTAAATGTGCACTGTAAAATTACCGTAAAAATGAAGTTACATACAATAATATGTACAAAATTGTGAAGTTCTGAATGAGCCATTTTTCGTATTATCAGGACTGCACTGGACTGGAATTAACTTGTAGTGGATGCTAAGGCCAGATAAAATCATTGACTATATGCAATGTAAGGTGATAAAAACTACAGTGTGTAAAAGTCTCCAGTTTTCATTAGATTTTAGTTTTATCTTTATCTCTGTTTTATTTCCTGGCCATTTAGCTCAAGCCAATTTTTGTGGACACTCTTTTACATCGCCCAGTTTCCCAAGTGGCCTGTGGAGCTCGTCATTCTTTGTTTTTGTTTACAAATGGGCAAGTCGCAGCTGTTGGTGTCAACAACAGGGGTCAGATTGGCTGTGGTGACACAGTAGATGCTATCTGTCCAAAGACGATCCCTGATTTACCTGCCATTTCAATTATTGCATGTGGTAACAGTCACAACATAGCTGCTGATGGTAAGTATATTTAGTATATACATGTAACTTGTATGGTATAAACCAGGTCACTGACCTATTTACACTACTCAGTCTATTATCCCTTACTCAATCTCAAGGTATACAGTGTGTACATGTACATCCAATCCTCAAAAAAATGATTTTTATTCTGTTCAGTAACAATGACTATGATCCCTGATTCATGTACTGTAGTTGTTGCTTGGTTTCAAATAATTTGTTAGTCAGCTTACTACTGAATCTCTAAATCCAGCACTCACTCTGGCTAATCTAAATAACAAGGAGATCATATTAAGGTGGCCCCAGGAGGGAGGGGTACTTAAAGTGTGTTTGGGCACAGGATTGCCACTGGAGGTTTGAAACCCTGACCCTGCTTGGAACAAAGAAAACCTTAAATACACTCTCTGTAGAGGACAACACTTTCTATTTTGGTGTTGACTGATGATCAGCTAAACATCGGCAACATTTCTAATTTTGGATTGGAGACAGTGTAAATTGCATTTCTAAACACCACGGAGAGTGTTGAGAAAATAATGTGGATTGAAGTATTTTCACCATACTGTGAGGTATTCGGAAATGAGATGAAACACTCTCAAGTTTTTGCTACTTCTTCCCAAGCAGAATTAAAAGTAAGGAGAAAAAATGAAATACATGTATTTTAAGAATCTCTGCTACACTGTAAGTGAGATTGTAATATCAAAACCAGTGGTTATGGCTATTATTTATTTTCTTTCAAGTTTTTGAGTTAATATTAAGTTTAAGAAGGTTGTTTTGAATATTTTAGTTCATGGACATGTGTATGTGTGGGGATACAGTAAAGCATGTGGCTCCAAAATGGATGTTTTGTCACCGTTGTCTGTGTACTCATGCAGTGAACAAGACAGTGTGGTGGATATGGCTGGTGGTGACTCACACTCCATGCTCCTTACATCAAGCGGTACAGTGTATTCTTGGGGAAATAATTTTGAGGTAAGAAAAATATGAATTTAAGGTTGTGATTTTTTCCTTTTTGGGGGGGGAGGGAGGGGGGGCAGCATTTCTTGAACAGCTAATTCTCAAATAGTGCCGAAAGGATTTTGAAAATTACAGATAGTATCAGCACGTGTACATGTTGATAAGGGCTGGCAC